ATACATTCAGTTGTGTTGTTAATTATAAAGAGAAATCTATTGTTAATCTTTTTTCCAAAAATTATATTTTACCTTGCTCCATTTCTTCTTTAATGTCATCATTTACATATTTCATAAGAGCAGGACAAAATTTCTCAATGTCCAAATCAATTGTTCTAAAACTTGAGTTATTGCCATCAAATCCAAATTTAACCCTTGGACAAAAGAAATTGAGAATTAGATATTGATATTGATCATAATGGTTTCTTCTAAATTCATCAAGAGCTCCAAACCCAAATTTATTTTCCAAAAAAACAATAAATTCATCATCAACATAAGTTGAACCTGAAAAATAATGTAGAAGATTTTTTTTTTAGAGTATAATTTAATTTTTATTTTTTTAAAAATTTTAGTTTCATTATTTATTTTAAAAGTTCAAATACCACAAAGGTCCCCACTACGTTCTGTAATTTCCGATAATTTATTTTTGGATAATAACTTTCTGACTGTCAAATCAACTGTACCACCTCCACAATCTACCACCATGAAAGTTGCTTTTTAAAAAAAATTTTTTTTGTTTAATATAATATTACTAGTTACTTTATCATTAATAACTATGTTTTTTTTTTTGAAAAATGCTTACATCCTTCACTTAACCGAAGTTCTTCCAACTTCTCCATACAGTATAATGCTGCAGCTTCGGCTATTTGTTATTTACGATTTTGAATAAAAAGGAAATGCGAATTGTCACTCAAATTTGGACTAAAAATCGAATAGTTACTTACGTTCAGTAGTAAACTCTAAATTATTCTTCGAATTTTTTGTCGTATAACCTGCTTTAAGTATACAATCTTGTAATATTCCAATTGCTTCAGGACTCCTAAAAATTACATGGGAGCATATAATATACAATCAATATATTTACATGCTTTATGAAAATTACAAGTATAAGTTCATACCATTCAGCCGGGATAGTAAAAACCAATCTTACGTGCTCAGGAAATTTTAAATTGGGCCAAATATTTACAAGAGTTTCCAAAATCAGCTACAATAATAAAATACGTTATTTTAATCGATCAATCCAATAGGGAAATCTTAGAATGCCAAAAAATTATTAACTGGTTTCATTGATTTTAGGAAGTCTGAAATTGCTTTTCGATAATCTAAGTTTGGCGGGAGATAGGGTTTGTCGGAATCTTTTAAATCCGCGAGATGCAATTTAAAACGTTCTACTGGTTTTGGTTCCGGTTTTGAAACAATCCTAATTTTTTTCCTTGGCTCTCGAGCCAATGCTTCATATCCCCATGCAATTACATCCCATGAATTATCATCGTATTGTAATACAGTGTTGTTTTTTGGAGCTTTAAATCGTGTTTTGTCACGTCCAGGCCTGTTTCATTATTATTATTATTATTATTATTATTATTATTATTATTATTCACGTGTCTTTATATATTAATATCTTTTTTTACCATGACTCGTTTACAGTGATATCTGGATTTACACAATGAGCTAAATTCCTCGAACAAATTAAAAATTCCTTTAATTAGAAAAGAGAAATAAAGATAACAATTCTCAGATGATCTTCTAAAGAAAGCTTTACCGTAACTGAAACCTAAATATTACGAATTCGATTAAAAATTTAGTCAATCATTATTAATAATAAGATAATTTATTATAATAATTATTATTTTTTACCTGACGTGGTTGTACCAAAGTCTAAAGGATTTTATATATAATAATAAGAATTATTTATATTTATTTATTTTTTTTTTATTAAAATTTAAAATTAAATACCAATAGCAACAACTACGCGAAAATCTGGAATACTCATGTTTTCGACTTTTTTTTTATAATTTTATTAAAACAACCTGACGGGAGGTTAAGAAAATCTCGTGAAACTTGATTCTATATAGATTTTTAAATGAATGGGCCTCTATAAGCGGGCGGTGTACAACATGTCATTGTGTCTAGAATTGGATAACGAACAAAAGACGCCGTAAAATTTTATAAATTTAATATTAAAGAAGGAAAAAAGTTTTTTTCCGTTTTTATAAAATTTTTTCCTATTAAATTATGGGAGGTGAAAAAAATATTAAAGTTGAAAATTCGCAAGATGATTTTCAATCATCAAAGAGCCTAAATAACAAAACTATTGATTGGAATGGACTGGAATGGTTTAAAAATTCTCATACTTTTTGGTTTAATGATTTTTTAAAATGGATATTGTTGATCTTATACGAACCAAAAGATAGTCAAGAACAAGTTCATATTGAAAAAGGGTTAAAAGTTCTGAAAAGTGAGGTCGACGAATTATTATTATGTAATGTTGGAAATTGGTCGGATATTCATAAAATAATTTCAGAATTATTTGAAAAGTGTAATAATTGGATACTATCTCACGATGAACCTTTAAGAAATTCGATTATAAGTGAGATTGTCAAAAGACTCCGATTGGAGCAACCTCTTGTCAAAACATTGGTTGATTATTTAATTCAACTTCAAGTTCCTCAACGTTCAGTATTAAGGTTTATGGTTCATCAAAATATACAAGCTCGAGTTGCTTTTGCTAGAACTACTTTAAAACCTCATCTGGATACATACGCATCAATGAGTTATCATTGTACAAACAATCCTTATTTTAAAAAAATTCAAGTTGAAAAAGAAGAAATCGGTAAAAAATATAATGAATTGACAAACACGAATGAAAAATTAAAGTTAGACGATGCTCATACAAGATCTTTATTACAAGAATTGGGCGAAGAAAGCGAACAACTTAAGAATCAATTAAGAGAACAAAATAACCAACTAAAAAAATATAAAGAAATAGTCAATAAATTAAAAGAACAAAATCCTCAACTTTCCGAAGAAATGAATCAATTAAGAGAACAAAATAACCAACTAAAAAAATATAAAGAAAAAGTCAATAAATTAAAAGAACAAAATTCTCAACTTTCCGAAGAAATGAATCAATTAAGAGATGATTTTAACAGTGAAATTCAACAATCATTTGAAAAACAAGAATCGTTTAAACATGAAACCGAAAAGGCCAAAAAAGAGGTGTTATTTTTACAGTCAGCACTTGGAGACGTGACAAATATTCGCATTAGCGATAAATCTTTAAATGGACCTCTTCAAATAATAAAAGATATTGACAAATTTAAACAGCTGTTAGAAGATTTTTCTAAACTAAAGGATCATCGGTAGAAATAAATGAATCTGGGGCAAGAGATTTACTTTTATCTTATCATATTAAAATTGATAACATGGAATCCAGGGAATTGAAAAGGATTTTAACATCAGTTTTAGAGCGTTTAATATGTCTTGAAGTTTTTTCCGCGGCAGCAGAAATCAGTAAAGTCAATGTCGAGGATGAGGAATCGTCTACTGATTATCATCTAGAATCATCGATTATTTACCATACTAACGCTTTAATCAGACACACCACTAATTTATCCCAAAAACGAGACGGAAATGATTATGTTGCCAAAACAACACCTATTAAAATTCGACAACAGGTCTACGAAGCACTCTCTCTACGTGCCTTCAATTTAGCTGATGTCGAGCATCCTTATATCACTGAAACCGTGAATAAACTTGTTAAAGAAGTAAATAAATATCGTAAAATTTTGGACGAGGAAAGAAAGAATAATGTTAGAAAATCTGCTGAAGAATTGGTACGTTTTGGCTTTAAATTGTGGTTTGGATTACAAGCTCAAGAGCCTACTCCAAAAGTTAAATTCAACAGGCCAGGAGGTTCAATTAAGCCCCATTTAATGCAAGGTGCCTGGGACAAAGAAGAAATACAAAATTATGAAGTAGAACTTTGTTATTTTCCTTCTATAGTTTCAAAAATAGGCGACCAATTACAAATTTATAACAAGTCTGAAGTATTAATTAGACCCAAGTCCAAGTCGAACAAAACATTCAACAAGCTTAAAAATATTATCTTTCGTTAACGGTAATTTTTATTTTTTTATTATTGTTATTTAGGTTAAAATAAAAAAACTCCTAGGTATTTACGTGATTAATTTAATTCTTTATTCGTTATCATTTATTTGTCTCTTTTTAAATAGTATTGGTTGTTAAAAAAGAAAACTTTAATAAAATCTTAATATATTTAAATTTTTTAATAATATATATATGTATGGTATGTATATGTATATATTATATATATATATATATATAATCTAAGCAATAATAAATAAATATATAATTTTTTGTGTTTAAAAATTTTTTTTTATAAAATATAATAATTAGGATTTAAAAATGCATAGAGATTTCCTTTAAACAAATAAAAACCATTTACTACCACCACTATTATTACCACGTATCAAGTTAAACAATAAACTGTACATTGTGAAATTATGTATAGAAAAAAATTTATAAAATCAAAAACTTTATTCAGTCGGTTCTTCGACACACAGTTTCAACTAGGTTTTTTGCATCTAAAAAATATTGAAAGATTATTAAAATCAACTTTTATCAATTGTATTTATATTCAACTTGCCTTTAGACCGCACATAAACCATACAATAAGGATTTGCTGAAGATCCTGTCGTGTCGGCAAGAACTTCTCTTTCTTCAACCTAAATAAACATAGATCATTTTACAGATGTGTGTAATCATATATATATATATATGTATGTGAATGAATGAATACATGAATATTAATTAAATCTATCAAACCTCTGTTACATAAGAATCGTTATATTTTAACCATCGATCTTTTTCAATATCATAAATATATATCCAATAATGACCAAATGTAGCCTGACCTAAAAAACATAATAATTAATATAATTAATATTTTCGTAATGAAGGAAAATCGAATTTAAACTTTATTATTAATATACCAACCACTATGTATGAATACTGCATGTAAATGGTATTCACACTCTTTTAGGTCATGATAATGTTGTTTTAATTTATGCCTTAAAGTTGTTATACTATCTTCAGCATCTAACAAAAATCACAAAATTTAAATAAATTGTCAAATACTCTCCCACAAAATATATACATAGTATCTACCAGAAATTCGATTGGTAACTCTTATGCTCTCTTGTTCCATTTCTGATAATTGCCAATCTGCGTTTTCATCAAATAAAAATTCAGAATAATCAGATTTCATATTTTTTATAAAATCAGCTGTTGTTCTAAGTAGACTTGACGGATTTAACATAGTAGTCTATTAATAGATAATTATCAGTTTTTATAAAAAATATCTTTTTAATAATTATGAAAATCTTATTCACACACACACACACACACACACACACACATATATATATTAATTAACCTTATCTTGAGAATTTTCTTTGAGTGTTGTTTGTAATCGATCTATTTCCATTTTCCAAGAATTTGCTTGTAAACGTCTTTGTCTCAGCAGGTCACCATTCTTATCTAAATACCGATCAAGATAAATTACTTTGTCGAAACGAAGAAATGCATTGGATTTATAAACATTGGAAGTTGATCTATCGAATTGCACTCTCTATTATTATTAGATTAAATTTTTTAAATTTAACCCATTATAAATACTAAAATGAGAGCAAATAAATTTGTCGAGAAAATACACTTACTTGTACATGTATTTGAAGTATAGGTGGTATGCTTGTTAGAGTTACTTCTCTTTCGGCTTGTGTGCCTTCAAAATCAACCTATTAATAATTATCATGTATATATGAGTAATATTTAATTATTTAAATAAAAATTATTATTATATATCTACCGTTGATGTATCAAAATAAACATCAAGACCATCATATAAATCACGACCTTCAGCTACAATAACGATGTTTAAAAAAAAGCAATTAAGGAAATTAACAAATAAATGTAACCATGTATAATAAACGCACACGCACGCACACACACACACACACACACACACACACACACACACACACACACACACACATATATATATCTAGTATTAATCAATAGTCTAGAGGTGAAAAAAGGATATTAAATGATTGAATGGTTCTTCTTTAACAGTATCGATATTTTGACCAGTATTTTGATCTGTATAATGAAGAACTTGTCGAGTTTCACCATAAAATAAACTGATTGAGATTGAAAAAAAATAATAATGATAATATGTTATATTATTAATCGAGATCAATCATATTACAGCAAATAATTTAATTTTTTTTAAACCTTTTTACAATATTTTCCATATTATCATTTTGGGTGCTTTTAATCGCAGCTTCAAGTTGAAACATTACATTGTCCATACATTCTGTAAAACAATGTTTTTGCTTTATTAATGCTCCAAGGTTATTATTGAAGCTAAACAAATTGTGCAAACTGATAAAAAAATAACATTTCAAATGTGAATTAATTTACCTGTAACATCTTGTTGTTTCCCAAATAGCATTCCTGAATTATTTTTTTCCTTGTCACCATTAGATGAATTATAAAATTCTGGAATCATATCTTGGCCTAAAGAATTCGTATTAGAATAGTTTTCTCTGTCTTTTCCTTTAGAAGCACCATTCTCATGACCAGAACTAAATAAATCATTCTCAGCATCGGTAAAGAATTGACCAGTTTGGTCATTATTATCATTGGCTAGCGTGACAGTTTCTTCCATTGTTCCTTGAGAGTTTGCACCAAATTCTGATAAATCTGGTATGGCTTTAGTGACAACAACTTTATCTGAAGATTGAACTTCATTTGAATAATCAATATTCATTCTGGAGTCAGGAGGACTTGATAATTCATCAATATTAGGTTTAGATGGTAATGATGGTGATGGATCCTTTGGTTCATCTTCATCGTTTTTAGCGCTAACTAGTGCCATAAACGCAAGATCAAATTCAGGTGAAATAGATTTATTTTGTGTATGAACTAGGTTGATAAATAAATTACGTAAAAGATTCACAACTATCATATACAAGATATATATTATTATTAGCATTGTTACTTAACTTTATATAAATATAAATATCTCTTTCTTTGTAAAAATGCAAAATATAGTGGCACAAACTTACATTTTTTTGCTCTGGTAATTTCTGAATTTGAAACTTCTCTACCACCAATTATTATTTGTTTGTGATTATAGTCAAATCCGTTTATATCAGATGAATCAAAGGATATAACAGTTTCACGTAAATCTCTGATTGTAAAATAATACTAAATAACATCACATGAATATAGCTATTTTCGTATTAAAAAATTCCATATATATATTTTAAGCACAAATAAATAAATACCTGTAACAAAGAATTTAAATAACAAGTATTTCCAATGTTATCCAAACCCACTGGCCTATTTTGATTATACGAGCGACAGGAAAAAGAGAGAAATTTAATATTATGACAAATAGAAATTGCGAGATCCGAGTATTGGTATAATTCTTACAAATCAGAAGAATAATTATCCACGTTCATATCTGCATCATTATAAATTGAAAATAAAAATAATTGTTTTGTATATAAAGTTACACACACACAAAAATATTGTTGAAAAATCTTTACATACCACCATAAGAAATAGCTCCATCCTTCAAAAAATTTAATATTTTCGAGCTATTTCTGAATTTGCCAATAAAAGATAATGCTTCACGATGTCTTATACTCATAGTAGGGCGATCACTCATCTAAAATGGATTTAATATGGTCAATTTTGATATGATCATAATACATTATTAGTAAATAGTTAGACAACAGTATTAATTACCAATGACTTATAAACGTCAATCAGTATATCGTCTGATACAGAATGATCTGCCTTTTGCAAATGAAGATACGCTTCTTTCACATCATCAACAGTAAATTTATCTTATATATTAAAAATGAAACAATGAATTATAAAATAAAAAATAAAAAATAGAAATAAAATCATCTTATATATATATGGGGGAGAGAAAAATACCTCGTGATTTTTCAACACCTACTAGCGTAGACAAAGAATCGCTCTTTCTTTCCAAAGATAATTCATGTATAGCTTGTAAATATTGAGGAGTTTTTTCTGGAAAATCATAAATTCCTATATGATAAGCCCATTTCAAAATATCGTCTTCCATATCTGAAACACAACCAAGGATTGAATAGCCACTAGCTTGTGTTGAACATGTTATAGATACGGGATTGAAAGTAGACTGAGATGGGTCATTATGCCGTTTATCTTAACAATCCATTAAAAATTAGTTGAACTAAATTTCAATTAGAATTTAAAGCTACAAAAAAAAGAATTTAACATAAATTAACTTCATTACATTTTGTTCCAAGAATATTTGCCAACGTATCGTAAGGATTTAAATAATCACTTTTTTGAAAATTAGCTAAAAACGATATTTTTTTAAAAAAATATATTAATAATCAAGAATAACGTTATTATAAAAAAAGGATATACACTTACTAAATTCCATGTGTTGCATATCTAATTCTTCTTTTGCCTGTGAAATAATTCGTTTGCGACCTTTAAAAATGGCGTATTCGAATTGATTATTGTTTTTTTTGTACCCGATTTTTTCTAATAAAGCCTGGCTAGAGGAAAAATCTTTGTCAGAAGATGTTATAATTATGTTTGTAAGATCTCCGAGGATTGATTGATTGATTGAAAGAAAGAACGAAAACCAACCTCGCATTATCCCAGCCAATGTTTGTTTTATAAAAATCCCCGTGTATTCCTCCCATTGGCAATGGAGTCATATTCTCATTTATCGCGTTGTCAAGAAGTTGTCCAAGGGATACAATGGTACGATTGAAATCTGGTTGTGATTCATTTTCAGTGACGTTAGTCTTTGTCGAATAGTGCTGCCTTGATTTTTGTAATGCATCAAAAATCTGGATATCGATCAATGGTTCATCAATATCAACTTTTATAACAAAACTACATAAACAACAATGTGCATTTAAAGTACGAGAATCATCTGACATGGTTGTATGAAGATGATGTAACTTGTTTTCAAGATTTTTAATACAAGAGCCTGGCTCTGGATTCGATCGATTATTCAAATCAAGACTTTCAGGTAAATCAGCCTTGAGTCTAAACCATTTATGACACTTTTTACATATAAAAACAGTCATATCTTCTCTGTTAAAGCGTTTTGATAAAAGAAATTCATGAGGGTGGTTATATTCTCCTTGGTTATGACGTGTTAGAGAAACAAGCCAGGCAGGTGGTGTTTGTGGTTTTCCTCCCGAAAATTCAGATTTACGTGGAGGAAGAGCTGGTGGATTTTTTGAGTCTGACCACAATAGAATTTTGTGTGGGGTTTGTTTTAACGACCATCTTTTAGTTAGAGTACAACAAATAATATAAAAATTAAAATAAAAAAAACAGATCTAACCTTGTGAAATTGCCATTCTTTTTTTTTTGCTATCTCAAGATCTTTTTTTTAAAAAACAATTTACGGAAAAATACAAAAAGAAACTAAATATAAAAACCACTACTAACACTAACACTAACACTAATACTAGTCATTTGCCGGATAATTTTTAGGCAGATAATAATATACCAAAAAAAGATTACAATAAAATTTCCAAGTATTTTTATTGGACTATTAAATTGATGAAAATCATCTCTTTCTTCATGGTAAATATTTCTTTTTGAAATTGTATCTTTATGAATCCTATACAGAATATCAATTAACATCAAAATAAAACTTCAATTCAATTAAACAAGTATCGAAATATAATAAATACGTTTTTTAGTAGAACTACTACTCGGTAAGAAATGTGAAATAGATGCAAGATTTCTCTGCATATGAAATGAAATATCTTCTAATTTTTTTGATTTTTTAGAAATTCAACTTTTGTAATTTCAAAATATCAAGGGAAAATAGATAATAGTGTAATAAAATACGGCGTAGCATTATATGCAACTGAAGCTGCAGAACATAATAATGTAAAATTACCGACACCAGGAAAAAATGAAAGAGACAATCCAAAAATTTCAAATTTAGTAGAACAAATTGCATCATTATCTTTAATCGAAACATCAGAACTTGTCAAATCATTAAAAGTAATTTTAATAATTTATTAATAATAATGAAAGAAAGAGACACTGTTTTTAATCTAATTTTTGAATTGGAATTTCAGATAAAGTTGAACATTCAAGACGTTGCATTACCTGCAGTAAATTTTGCTTCAATGGCAACAGCTGCACCTACAGATGCAACATCTACACCTGTAGAAGTATTTAATTGATTGAATTAATTAATCATTATCAAAATAAAAATTGATTGTTATTTTGATTTAATAAACTAATAAAATTTCGATTATTAGGAAGAAAAGGCTCCCGAGAAAGCAGAATTCACATTAAAATTAGAAAAATTTGATCCTGCTTCTAAAACAAAGATAATTCGTGAAATCAAAAATATTATACCTGGAACAAACCTTGTAGAGGTAATACATAAATAAATGTTTATACACATTACGTGTTTCTCACTCTTGACAAAAAATTTTTTTTCTTTAGGCAAAAAAATTTGTAGAAAGTGTTCCCAAGGTCATTAAAGAAAATGTGAATAAAGAAGAGGCAGAAAAAATTAAAAAGACGTTAGAGGGGCTTGGTGCAACTGTTTTAATGGAATAAATATCATTAATTAATAGATCACTCACTAGCTATGGACAAATAATTATAATTCATTTTTATTACAATCACATAAATTGAAGAAATCTTTTATATCTTTTCAAGCAAAAAAAATCAAATTTTATTTATCACCCTAATCCAGCATGCTTAAATATAATTATTCTTTATAATATTTATTTATCATCCTATGTTCCAAAGACCCACCCATCATCAACCCACTTAAATATATATACACAAAAGAATTTTCATTACCCCACTTTAACGGGGCACCCACACAGAAACCTTTAGTAAAAGGTGAAAGGTTTATAAGATCTGCGAGTAATGACAAGCTGTCTATTGATAAAAACATCGTGCCTATTTATAGTGCCTAATGATATTATTGGATTTTAAAAATCCTTTTTTATTGGATAAAATGATGTTATGAAAATCTGGATTAATAGACTTCGAAATTTTTTTACAGGCATTCGAGTTATTTTAAAAAGCATTGATTTACAGATTTTAGTATAATAGAAAAAAATTTTTTCCACGAGTTTCTGTATGATATCATACCGAATAATATTCATGACATCATAATTCATTCATAAAAACAGTTTCTTAAAAAATAATTAATATGTACGCCTAAAATAAATTTTTTGTTTATAAATCGATTTCCCACTCGCACTATACACAAATTTCTCAATTAACAGAAATCATTATTACTAATATAAATTAAAATGATTGCTGCTGATGCAAACACAAATTCTCTTCCACAATTAACCACTTATCCATCATCACAAAAAGTCTATCCAACTTCTCGTCAAATTCTAAGGATATTTTTGATTCAAACAGCTTTGGGTCTTTTTAATACTTCAGGCGGTTACAAAGCAAACCATTATCTATTATCTTCTTTATCATCTCAAGGACATGCTTGTATATCTCTCGTACTTTGTTGGAAGAATGATATTTTGGCTGCTGGTGTCAATTATATTGAAGAAAAAGTATGCTTCGATTTGGAAAAAGATAAAGTCCGTGTCTATCGATTTATTTGGGGTAATGTAGGGATGATAGGTCTCGAGTTGGAAGACTATCTTAAAATATTTCCAAGAAGTTCCATATCTAATCCGCTTGAAGATGTCAATTCTCGAATGAAACGATGGTTGGAGGTATGATATATATATATACTGTATATATATGTATTATTTATTGCATATTATTTATCTATTTCGCTTATTTAACATGTAAAAGGATAAAGAATCCGCTGCAGAATATAATTTTTATCTTCATTTTATAAAAAAAGAAATCATGACTTTTCGTGCAACTCATTTCATATTCAATGATTCTGTCGCTTTAAAGATTGCTTCTACTTTACCTTCTTCAATAACTCGTATATTTATTTGCCATGCGTGTGAGCATTTATCATTTGGCCCATATGGCGGTGTTCCAGGATTCGGCAGCACTTGTTCTCCCATGGAACACAAATGGCTTAAAGAAATTGAAGGTGTATGGTCCGTTAGTCGTGCTGTTAAAAGATATATTGACATTTATGGCGAAGGAATTAGTTCAACATATCTTCCTTTACATCCAGAAACATACGGCCAACCACCCTTCAAGAGATATTACAATTTTGATGCTCCCTACGTTATCATCATTAATCCTGGGGCCATTAAAGGTTACACTATCTTCAAAGAAATTGTTGAAAAAATGAGAGATGTTCAATTCGCAGCTGTTAAAAGTTGGAGCGTAAATGATTATCTATTAAACGAAATGAAAAAATTGGATAATGTCACGTAAGTTTATATATAATAAATTTAATAAAGAAAAATAATTTTATAATCTTAACATCAGCTTATTTTATTTCATTTTTTTATTAATAGGATCTTTCAAATGTTTGAAAATATGGAAGAATTGTGGCCAAAAGTCAAAGTACTTCTCGTACCTTCTATTTGGTAAATAGAAAAAAAATTTTTTTTTCTTTATTGAATGAATGTTTATTTTAAAATTATTTTTAAATATGTTAGGTATGAAGCATTTGGTCTTGTTGTTGTGGAGGCGATGTTACGCGGAATACCAGTTATTTGTTCTGATGCGGGGGGTTTGCCCGAAGCAAAATGTGGGGTTGAATTTGGAACTATTCATGTTAATGTAACAAATGGTGAAAGAGAAACTGATCCGAATGCCATAAAAAAGATGGGCATATACAAAATACCTCAACAAGATGTTGAGCCATGGATTCGATCATTAAGATATTTGATTAATGACCGAGAAACGTATGAAAGATTTAGTCAAGAATGTTGTGACAAAGCTAATGTAACTATTGAAAATATTGATGTTGGAATTTATAAGAGATGGTTGTTAGACATAAGGAAGAATCAATTGTTAAATTTAGATAACCTACAGAAAAACGATAAAATTTCACCTACTGTCATAAACAACGTGGATAACATTAACAATATTGGTGTTATTGTTGATACTATTTCATCAACAGTATGAAATAAAAACTAATTGTTTTTTATTTTGCAATAAAAAAAGGATTATTAATAATTTATAGCTAGTGTTGTGTTAAAACGTCAAGGAAATAAGTTTCTGTCTATATTTGACTGTGGCTTCATAGAAGTCATTGTCGCTGGCTGTTGCTGTTGCGCCAATTAGACACACAGCAGCAGTTAATTTTTCATGCTATCCTTTCTATATTAAATTGATCTGGACTTCTTCTATTATTAGAGAACTCATAAAAAATATTGTAGCAACATTATCGTAACGATTTCCGGTGTGTCTTAGTTACAGACTTTGATAGTCCAAAATTGTTGATGATTGTCAAACCGCCCATGACACGTGATATAGAACTGTGTTAGCATTATTTTGTTAAAAATCTTCTTAAATGTTTTCCCACCAACAACTTTCTACATAGAATTCTGGAAGTCTTACAATATGAAAAAGGACATAAAATGAATTAGGGTCCATGGGAGTAAAGAATTGATTGTATGTATTCGTATATACTTAACATTTTTATCATATTATTGTATAACTGCAGGGTTGGAGTTTTAGCCATTTCTGTATATTAATATTAAGATATAATCCATGGCCTTACATGAGTAATGTAAAAGTTTGTATTGTAAATATATTGGCCTGAGGCATTAAATAAAGGTAATTAAAATTAAGAATGGTTGACGAAATCATACATTTATTTAATATAATTCGCAAGTGACTTTTTGACGAAATTGGAGAAATTCATTTAGCCAATCAAATCAAACGGTTTTCAATAACAATAACAATAATATAAATATTAAAAAAAGTAGTACATTCTTTATATGAAATAATTATATACTTTAAGGAGTTCAAACAATTTCAACAGCAATCATTTATTAAGGAGGGTAGCTTCAGCGATCTATATATAATTGATTTATTAATATTTTTTTATATAATCTTCCTACTAGGTAAATAATGCTTATATACACATATTGTACAAAACCCGATTTTGGCCAAGTAGTGGTTATGTCTGTCAGACCATATTCGACGGATAAGATTTTTTATTTTACAGACATTAATATTGATATTAATATTGATATTCAACGGATATCCGACAATTATACCAAGGAAAATAAAGTTAAAACTTAAAACCGACTATTTGTCTATTATTGAAATTCAAAGGACAAATAAGCTGATTGTGGAACAAAATTTACTTAGCATGCAAGGTATATTTATTTATGTAGCGTAAAAAAATGCAAAAACAACAAAAATGCGTCATGTTCGAACATTAGTTATCATCTAAGCGTAAAACAAGTCAATTATGTCATGAGTATCAGCTTTTACGTAATGTACAATATTGGTCATCGCACTTGAAACTAAAAACAAAGATGTGCTTATTTAGCGAATTTTAAAAGCCCAACGAATTCCAATTGGTTGTCCACTGAAATATATTTGACAGTAGAACAATCTTTACTTAAATGCGAGGCTCGTTTTTTTAAATATGAAATTCACAAGGAAAATTATTTTTTTATACGGATATCCGCATACCACCTAATATCCAGATTAAATTTATTTGAAGGCAAATATTCGGATATCTGACGGATATGACCACTATGGACAAGAAAGTCATGAATTCAGTTTTTGCTAGGAACCCCAAATCATTTTTTGGTGGCTATACTAATATTAATATTTGGCTATGCTTTTCATTTGATTATTGTAATTTGTCAAGCGTGACACAATTTGACGAAATAATTCCCTGTAAAGTATTTCGTCTGGTTAAAATTCTAGTGATGTCAGCTGGTAGAAAACCTTAGCCGGCCAAGAACCTTGATTTATTCACTAAAAAAATAATAGTTTGTACAAATCACTCGATTTGAATAGATTCAATGGTTGCATTAGAAACCTCTATATCATTGTCATGATAATCATCATTATTTATTAATCCATTCAAAATCTCTTTCATGATCAAAAAGTTCACCAAATGTATAAGTTAACTTGCGGAATGACCTTTAAAATTGCAAACCACATAACTTCCATAAACACATAAATATCTGTTAAATATTTATTTTAGCTTAAAGTCATAAATGCCTTATTAATATCTATACTGCGTGTATATGGTCTATGAAACTAATCCCTAGTTTTTATTTTATATATGTTTCAATAATAATGGAAAAAAAAAGAGAAAGGTAGGTAAATAAATGGGTCCAATCCATTTCATTGACAATCACTTCGTTGACACACATTTCGTCGACAGTTCATTTCGTCGACAGTCATTTCGTTGGCAGTTCATATGATTTTAATGTAACATACGCATTGATTATAATTATTACATGAATAATCTATACTCTAAAATTTTGAAATATTATGTGATCCACATGTTAGATTTTAAAAACCACCACCATTCAATTCGGCTTTAAAAAAAGGGATCTGTCAAAATTTTTTTTCGTGGATTTTTTTAAATTTGAGAATAATCTTCATATTACAATATTTTGAATTGCACTAGACATTTTTTGCATAACCGTACTACACAAATTTAATATGCTTTAGAGATGTGATCCATGGATGGTCAATCTGGATATCCATGAAAAAAATCTGTTAGTATTCGGATTGATGGATGGCTTTTTAAAAGACTGTTGGATTGTGGGATCAAAATTTTAGAAATTATTATTATAGGATAATTTGTATTGCTCCTTTACTTATTTGTAACATTGACAATGATAATGGTGATTATAATTATAGTGATAATGATAATGATAATGTGAGCCTATAGTCAAATCCTCATTTCAATGAATTTTATATGTATTTTTTTCGATAAGAATTTTAAATAAAAAATTATTCATTTCTTGTACTATTTATTATGGTGCAGAACTTTTTATTGGTTCCTTTAATTCCTCCAAAAATGGAAACGTAAAACCAAAAAAACGATTCGTAATTTTGAAGCTAATACTAAGACCTTTTCTACAAAGTTATGATTTCATACCATGGAGGAATTAAGCCTCAAAGTTGCACGAGTTTACTATGTTAACAGTAATATCTTTTTTTATGTCTGCATAACAAATCATTAAAAAACAACAATAATTATCCAGTAAAAGAAGCTACCAAGGGATACCTGGTAAAGCAGTTATCAGAGGATAACCAGGTTAGCTGTCAGCGAACATAGAGAAGCCTCAAAAGGGTCAGAAACTCGAATTGCACGTTCGCAATATACAAATTCAATGAAAAGACGATCAATTAATATTATGTGTATTTATAATTGTAACCAAGTTATTCCTTTTACCCATTAAATAGATTATAATATTATATACAAATTCAATGATTTTTCCTTTAACTGTCATCCATTGATATCTCATTCTCAATAGAAACGGACCATGTTGTGAAAATGTTGTTTTGAAAAAAAAAAAATCCGCATTTTAAGGGTTTACTATCAGTTTTGAAACTTTAAAGAAAAATATCTGGTACTTTACTATGCAAAGTGGGTGTGGTTTCTAAGCCAAAAATATTCTACATACAGCAATGGTATTAACTCAAAATTGCTTTTCACAACATGGTCCGTTTCTAATTTAGATAAAAGCAAATTAGGTAAGGCATATTTATTGATGGTTACTATTAATAGGAAATTTTGTATGAAAAGATCCTAGTTAGTTCTGAAACTAGAAGTTTTATTCTATTTATTCCTCCCATGGTTATTAGAAAGAAAGAATAAGGTTTCTAATAAAATAACTTTATATGTGACAATTAAGCTTAAAATTATACTTAAAACGAAAAAATGAACAAATAGCTTCTTATATCTTGTAAGTTTTACAGTGATTCCAAGTGATCCTTGGAGAATATATGAGACATATGAACATTATGCTACATAAAGGCTTCAGTGTTCAAGATATTTTAATTATCCAATAGAATCTATATAAAGTAAAGTTCAATCAGCCTTTCCGTTCGGGCTTGTATATAATTTTTTTATAGTTAATCCATAATAGAGACGGAAAATTGCATAAAATTTCAAAATTTATGCGTTGCATTTTTTTAAAAAAAAACTATATATATATATAAATATAAAGGAATATCTAAAAATTTTCAATATTATTATCATTACCATTGCCTTCTTCTTCTTCACCACTTTCTATTCTAATTGTTTCGTCATCATCATCACTTTTATCATTTTTGCTTCCCACATTTCCATCACCATCAATTGTAATATCCATATCATCATTGTGGTATTTTTGGACATTTTAATTTGTAATTAAAATAAATATACACCAATTTAAAACACATTCGGGTGTCAATAGTTTATTTATCTTTTTATCATTTATAAAAGAAAAAGTAAACCAATTCCTTTTAGAAGCAAAGCTGATGAATTATCAACCCTACCCAGTTTAACAAATAAGGCCAAATTTTTGATTTGTCATTCCTTAAAAATACTATCAATAATATAATTAATAATAACTTGGTAAAAATTAAAATTCTCTTTTTTTTTGAATATGGAACATTGCATGATTTGAAAAAAAAATCCTGCGCATGTCACATCTCTGATCCATTTTATTAATAAAGCAAATTATTTGGTTAATTAACAAGTAAACCTTATTACACTAAATCAGGAAGATCCAAATCCTCCCTATAGCTAATTGTGGCTTCATAGAAAGTCATCATTGCTGCTGCTGCCACCAGCTAGACATATCCTGCCACAGTT